AAGAGTGAAACCCCATCTCAAAAAAAAAAAAAAAAGGGTTAAATCTCTGGAGACAACTTTACTTTTTTGGTTTCCATAATTTGGACTTATGTTATTGATACTCAATGAATAAAATGTTGATTTTTGATGCATTACAATACACTTTTTGATAGTAGTTGCACAATGTTGATCGTTTTATTTACTAAATACTGCAACCTCCAAATTGCCTTTTTTTTTTTTTTTTTTTTTTTTTTTGACAGAGTCTTGCCCTGTTGCCCAGGCTGGAGTGCAATGGCATGATCTCAGCTCACTGCAACCTCTGCCTCCCGGGCCAAATTGCCAATTTTTACATGGTATTTCTGGCAATGGTGGTGGCTCCTCTCTCTGAATACATAAAATGGTCCATTCAATCCATGGTTTCATATTCCTTTGTTATTCTGTCTACTGCTTTAAAATACATTCAGGCTGGGTGCGGCGGCTCACACCTAGAATCCCAGCACTTTGGGAGGCTGAGGCGGTTGGATCACCTGAGGTCAGGAGGTTGAGACCAGCCTGGCCAACATGGTGAAACCCCATCTCTACTAAAAATTACAAAAATTAGCCTGGCGTGGTGCTGCCCGCCTATAATCCCAGCTACTTGGGAGGCTGAGGCAGGAGAATCGCTTGAACCTGGGAGGTGGAGATTGCAGTGAGCTGAGATGGCACTACTGCACTCCAGCCTGGGTGACAGAGCAAGACTATCTCAAAAAAATAAAATACATTCAAATAAAATATAAGTTACTTGCAGTGAGTGCACACATACAACAGCGAGGAGGGCTGAGAACATAATTAACCAATACTTTTGTGTTCAGAGAATAGTCTGAAACCGTGGGACTGAAGCTTGCTCCTACGGACTTTCTCAAAGTATCCTTGGTGGACATAAGGTTACCCTCACTCAACGCAACGACACATCTTCTGCTGTGGTGGGAGGATACAGAATGACAATTTCATTTACATAGAATGTTTTCCTTCTGTAAATGTCTGGAACAAGTCAGAGACAACTTTAGACCCTTTTCAGCCTGGAGTGGCATCAGCGCAATCTCCATAACAAACTTGACCCACTAGCCTTTATCCACCACTCGTTTTCCATATAGCTGCTTTCCCATTCACAGTTAGCCACTCCTGGAAGTCCAACCTAGGCTGGATCTTGGGGGTCCAAACCTCAGCCCTCTTCTGGGACACGCAGTAGGAACCCCAGCCCTCGTTCTGCAGCTGGCTCAAGAGCTGTGACTGCCAGGCCTGGGTCACCGGTGGCCCAGGGAGTGGGAGAAGCCAGGGGGAGGCCCATTGGCTACCAGACCCAGCCCTGAGTGGGGACAGGCTCAGCTCCCATGGGTAGAAAGCTGTTTCCCACACACAGCCACCCTTGGAACTCTAAAAGTTGCTGTCCTTTATCTTGCCTGTGAATGTATTGTTCTTTGTTGAAGATGCTCTGTGAGCCTGAATTCTCCCATCCGAGTACTAACCAGGCCTGACCGTGCTTAGTTTCCGAGATCAGATGAGATTGGGCGCGTTCAGGGTGGTGTGGCTGCAGACACCGTGAGCCTGAATTCTAAGCTACCTCTCTGAGTTATTCATCTCTGGGTACTCCGTGTGTTGAATGTGTGATACACATGTTAATAAACTTGCTTGCTTTTCTCTTGTAATCTGTATTTTATTACAGAGCCCCAGCCATGGACCTAAGATGGGTACAGAAAACCTTTTCCCTCTTTTTTTGTTTTTGAGACAGAGTCTTGCTGTCTCCCAGGCTGGAGTGCAGTGGCGCCATCTCGGCTCACTGCAAGCTCCGCCTCCTGGGTTCACGCCATTCTCCTGCCTCAGCCTCCCGAGTAGCTAGGACTACAGGTGCCCACCACCACGCCCGGCTAATTTTTTTTTGTATTTTTTAGTAGAGATGGGGTTTCACCGTGTTAGCCAGGACGGTCTCGATCTCCAGACCTTGTGATCTGCCCGCCTTGGCCTCCGGAAGTGCTGGGATTACAGGCGTGAGCCACCGGGCCTAGCCCACTTTCCCTCTCTTACAGCCCTGAGGTAATGCTGTCAACAGGCACAAGAACAATGATGGAATGGGGTGAGACACCAGCAATGCCTGCACCCGCCACTCATGAACAATTATTTACAAATATTTATTGGGTTCCTACTATTCTTGCCACGGGGGATACAGAAGGGAGGGGGGACTTGTCACACTCCCAGTTTCCTGTTTCGCCAGAGAGGCAGACAATAAACTGGCAAACAAAACAACTACAGATTGTGAAATATGCGCTAAAGAAAATATTTTGCTGTTGTGAGACAAAGCAACAAACGTTAAGAAGCCGTGTTTACTCCTTTCTGCTTGTCGGCAGTTTCACAAAGCCCCTGACTCTGTGACTACAGACGTGCAGCCCTCTG